GGAGGTACTGTAATGGTGACTTGACAGAGTATTTAGTTCCATCTTTGAGATGTCCATGTTTTCTGGCAAGGTCTGTGGCTATGTTGTATGCTAGGGTCCCTGGTAGTGATATGGCTGAACAAAGTGGTATGTTGGGCTTGTATTAATGTTGAGCATTGTTTCAAAAGACATTTTTCTGAATTAAAGACATGATGAGTCCAGAAGTCAGGATCCTGGTGACACCAGAGAGCCTTTTGCTCTCTAGATGCTGATGAGTTATAACTCCCAGTAGTAGTCCTAGTTAGCATGGTCAAGAGCAAAAGATGTTGGGACATGCAGTTCAGCAACATCTGGAGGGATAAGGGCCCATGAATTTTGAACCACATAAAGATCTCCAGTACTTCAGCAAAAGCCTTCTTCAAGCTTACTTTACTATGGGCTACAGCTCCTAAACTAAAGTTTTCTTTCTTCAAATATTCACTGGGAAGAAAAATACAGCTGTACATCTTTTGATGGTTCAGAAATGTGATAAGATTACAAGCAGGATCTGAGATGAGGAACTGGATCAGGGCTGAAGCAAGCAGGTGGATGAATAAGCTGCCAAGAAAACTACCAAGACCCAAGTTTGTAGTCAAGGCAAAAAACTAGGCAGGACTTGCAGCAGTTATAGCCAGAAGCAAATGTAGGCAGGAAGAACAAATAGGCTGCTTAGGGGAATGGAACTATTCTATGACTAGAAAGAACCAGTGCCCTGGACATCCTCTTCTTTATAGACTTGGGATCTTATTCCAAGAATATAGTGAGGCACCAATGAATGAGGAAACTCCTGCCCTGAATTCCAGTTTATCCTTAGAGTACTGTCCTTTATTTCCAGATATCACGTTGTCACTTAACACAACTGAAGGTTCTTAGCTATATCAGAAATCTGTAAAGTGAATATCACAATACTTGGAGGAAGATAGTGGTGGTGACTTTATTCCTTTCAAGCTACAGATATGCCACAAGGGGTTATGGGCCACATTCCATCTAATCCTTTTTTATAAGCTAATAAGATTCATGAAAGTGTTTGCAAAGTCCTTTAAAGAACAAACATTCTTATCATCTTTGGCTGGATTAGCCACTGATTTTAAATTTAATTAGGAAATGAGAAAGCATCTTTAGGATTTATACCACTAATTTTTCAAGATGTAACCAATTGAAGTAATTTTTATAGCTTTAAGGTGGCAACATGGTATTATTCTCTTGGGCATTGTTAGAAATTTAACTTCACACAAGCATGTCATTATATGTCTCGTGTTTAAAAAGATGACACTTAGTTTCATGTCCCCATTATTTTTAACCTAGCACGCTGTCAGTGGGGGAAGAGAAAGAGAAAAGGAATACCTTTAGAAAAGGAAATGTTTTCTTGCAGCATCAAAACTTCTACCAACATGAGGCAAAGGCACTTTTTTTTTTTTAAGAAAAAGGAGAACTATTACATTTATCTTTAATAACTCAGTGCTTTTAAGAACACCAAAGGACCATGGCATGTTATAAGCTACATATTATGGCATAAGCTTTTGAGGACTATAGTAGCTTCAGATTGCATGGAATAACATCTTGAGAGAGGAACCCCTACAGTCAGTGGTTTTCTTTTTTTTCAAGCTGAAGCACAAAACCACATTGCTTTGTTATAAGTTACCTGTTGATTAGCACACCACACATTTTAGATCATATGGCTGTGCTTTTCAACACACACAGACACTATTCAAACTCAAACAGCTGCTTATTTGATTAGAAAACATTTCCAGTTCTTTTCAAAATCTGCACCTATTTCCTGTTCTTTATCTGGGTTTTGTTCCTTCTGCATAAGAGTCCTTTTTCTTCAAAATGATTTGACTGCACTTTCTTTAGAAAGAGCTGTTATGATTAGTTATGCTGGAGGAAGGAGGAGGTTATTACAAAGGCTCACTGAAGAACTTTTCACATTTAGTTTATATGGTGAAACAAAGCATGAATATTAAAAAAAAATCTGGGCCCCAGACCCACAGAATTCTCCCTCTTATTGTTCTGAAATATTCTTGTTTCTGCTAGTACCTTGAAAATAATTCTAGAGAGTCATCCTTAAGAAAGAATTGTAACAGACTTGATTTTGATTATTTCTGCACTGCCCTTAATTAGAGGAAAGACATCTAAGTGCATGGGGAGTAACTGTGTAATGCATTTCTTTAATTTAAATTAAAGCAAAATTATATAGAACTTTGTTTATAGCCTGGCCTATCCACCTTTGGAGTGAGGCTCCATAGCACAGTACTAAAAAGGCAGGTGTAACCCCCTCCCAAATCAAATTGTGTTGGGGTAGGAATATTTCCCATCACATTTCTCATCACCACTAATACGTTAAATATCGTTGCATTATTAGGAGCTTAATGAGAAACAGAGTTTCTTCTTTAGACAAGAGAATCAATGCCAAGTTGATAATTATTATTATTAAATGTGCACTGTGCTTTACCAAGTGCAAGAAAAGCTTACAACTTAAAATTCAGTACAGGGGAACGTGTGGAGAAAAAAGGCAAGGAAATAGAAATAAAGAGAGGAAACAGGACTTTGGTTATTCCTGGGACTATATTAACTTGGTATCAAGTTTGTGTTTAGCACTACAGAACTTGAAGAGATTTGATCCTTAACCAGAAGTCTGAAGATAGATGGAAGCAATGTTCTTACACGTGTGTGTGTACACACAGAGAGTTTTCAATAATGAACTCAAAAATATTTACTGCAATTGTAAATCTTTTTACACAAAGAGCCAGTAACAACAACACCTCTTTTATGCAGTCCTTAGCTTGACTAAGTCTGCTGAGTCTTACTTCTTTCTTTCTTTCCAGTAGAGTGCTTGACTTTCTTTGCTCTCCTCTTTGTAATTTGCAATGTGTTGTAGTCTTGGGATTTTGCCTAGTCCAGGCTCTAGGTCAGCTGACTACATCTCTGTCTTCGGCTGATTCCTGTGGGACAGGCCGAGGCTCAGTCTGGTGATGCTCTTCAGTTTCTGAATCTGAAGACTCAGACTGATCCAAACAACCAAAGGGTGAAGAAAGGAAAAAGGCAGAGGTGTACAGCTTGAGGTTGCAAGGCCCCCAAGAACTTCTAAAGGTTGATAGCATATGGACTGAAAAGGAAAATTATGACATACAAGACTAGAAACTAATCATGTTACCCAATCTCTGTTTTAATTAATTTTAAATGTAAATGAAATGAAATGAAATTCAGTTTTTTACCTTGCCCCACCCCTTATTTTTTTTGGAGTGCAATCCCCAGAATGTTGAAGAGCAACTGTCGTTCCTTTGGGCAGAAAAAAATTCTGCAACCCTAGCATAAGAGGTAAATTGATATAAAGAGGCAGTGTGAGGGAATACAGTTCTGTTATGCAAGATAAAAGCATGGTGCTGCAACACCTTATAATTATTTCAGATTGCTGAGATACCTGTGTGGGCGGAACCTGCCTGTTGATCCAGATACTGGGAAACCTGTCTGTTGATTCCTTTCATCACAATAGTGCAGCCATTTTCCTTTGTAAATTAAGTCATGCACCTGTGCATTATCCAGTTACCTGTCTCAGCTGCTACACTAGCTTTAACTGTCTCCTCAATAAAAGCTCCAGCTGGAGCTTCATTTTGCAATGTTTTATATTTGCTTAGACTGTTTTTTCTTCTTAAAGTGCGATCTGCTGGTAGCAAGACTTTATCTATCTATCTGTCTGTCTGTCTGTCTGTCTGTCTGTCTGTCTATCTATCTATCTATTAAATTTGTATGCTGCCCATCTCCCCCAATGGGTGACTCTGGATGGCTCACAATTAAAACAAAACCCACAAACAATTAAAAAGAAATACCACATTAATTAAAAGTAATTAATCAATTACAAAGTCAAGCTATAAAGCAAACCTTATACATAAAAACTAAAAACATTCAAGATGATGAGGGGGGCAAAATCAATTACCCCACAAGCCACTTCCACTGATGCGAGCCCCCATCTTGCCCCCAGGCCCTCTGGCATAGCCAGGGTTTCTCACTTTTTCCCACCTCACCTCTCGGGGGTGGTGTTTCTACAGAGAGTGGGG